AGATTTTCAGTACAAATCGGCAATTTCATACTTTAACCCCTATTATTGCTTTTTGAAATACACATCGGTATAACAATAACGTTAGAATATAAGAAAATGGTGACTGAGGCCCGGCGCCCACTAACAGGATGCGCGACGACAGGAATTTTGATTAGCCGAATTGCAATATACCTTCATGATTAACATTATAGTTGAAACTTCAGTTAAAATTGTCTTAGCTACAGAAACAAAGTTGCGAAAAGTTTTGGGATACCACACCATTCGGGAATATGGTTAGGGAGCCAGAGGATTTTCTTCAGTAAGACTAACATTTATTTAAGTATACTACTGGTAATAAACCAGCTTGCGACGTTGCGACTGATCTGGTCTCCAAGTTTGCTAATTTTAAATCATCTCAGTTGTGTCGATAAAGTGCCAATGGCAGGATTTAGTACTCTTGGTATTCTGTTAAAAGTTAAGAGTAGTGGCATGTCTGCTAAATATTAACTGGCCACCTTGGATTAAATCAACAATCGTGGCAAAATTAGTAGAGGCGAAGTTGCAGAGTCTTGAACACCGCCGTAAAGTTGCCTGCTTAACGGTATTCTACAAGATATATCACGGAGAGTGTGCGATGGAATTGCATAATTTGATTCCGCCTTTCCCTTTCCATCATGGGGAGGCTGGACGTTGGCTGGGATTCCACCTCTAGCGTTTCGCTTCCACATTTATACGGCGAGCGGCTCGAGAGTGGAATTCCCTACCTGCGGACTTGTTCTCTGAACGCTATAACGTGGACCTTTTCAAGGCGAGAGTGAATAGACATTATTTAGGTGTGCATGCTACATTGTCGACTTCAGCATCACTTTCCATCAGGTGAGATGGAGTTAAAATGTGCACTTTTATAAAAAAAAAGTGGCTAGCCATCGAATCACTGCCATTACAGTTTTATTGATATTCAATGGCGTCATGCACGAAGACTACGTCAGTCTTCTAATTATTTAACATAAAAAAAAACATTTAATTTGAAGTCCAAATTGCTAACAGTAACAAATATCGTCATAATTGCAATATAATCTCAATTCCAATGACCAATGGTTTCAAGAAAATTAGCATATTGGGAGCCCGAAGAGAGGCTAGGCGAGAGCACGATGATGCAACGGTATGCTTCAGCATGATTATTGACGTCAGTGTGCACTTGTATGTAGGAAATACCGAAGGATCCCTTGACGAGAATGGGCGCCGGGCCTTATGGGCACAGTGGGAAAGTGTAAGCTAGAAAAGTGACTTGTATACTTTACCATTGCTTCGTTACCAAAATTATTGTTGTTGCCGCCACATCCGGAATATATAGTTTTTTGGCACAATTTGAAATGTGTATCAAAGTACCATCTTTCTACTGACCCGAAACAATATCCGTAGTCAAAGGTAAGCGAACAATAACTAGGTGGTTTCGCTAAAAATTAATTTAAACTCAATAAAATATTACATGAATAACTCGGCAGAAGCGATGAAGGGGAAGACCAAATCGATGGAGAGGTGGCGTGAAGAGAAATCAAATTTAGTTGCAGTACAGCTCCGTGTGAAAGGATTCGTCCAAGGAAGTACTGCTACTGGGTGCTAGTAAAATTACAAGCACATGGGACTTGTCAACTTATGTCTCAGGGTGACGGGCGTAGTGAGTGGCAAGCTCCAAGTGTCAAAGCAATTGTTATGTACAGACGTGTCCGTCACTTGCTAACACAAAAAAGTGATACTCTTTTGTTCGCGATACGTTCCTCGATCATTTCCAACTAGTATAGTTTCGTTATAAATTTTTCAATACTTACGTCGCTCGTTTTCATGAGTTAAACAATAACCTAAGCAATCCTCTTCGGTGTCAAATCTGTTGCCGTTACCCTGACAACCTCCCCAGGTGAAAGCTGAACAGTTCTTTGCGGCTGGATCGAAATAATACATTTTGATATCAGCACGACAAGGACCAGAATCTGGTATTAATAAACAGGTTTTATACTTGACTGCAAAATTAGAAAAATAATAATTACAGCAAGCAAGCAATAACAAAATGCTATGATGTTACCCCGAGTAGGTCACCATGGGATTTTTCGCCGGTAGAAGTCCGCATGTTGTCTCTATATTGGCCAACTTGTGTCCGATATGAGATGAAATAAGGATATCGGTGTCAATATGGATGAGAAATCCGATATTTTATGGGCTAAAATGTCGAACCAGGTCGAATTTATAAAATGTAAATTCTTACCTGCTGGTACAAATTTTGTTGTGATATAGACGTTTACAGGTGGTGCTATCGTTTTGAAATCGTAATAAGCATGACTTGCATTACAAAAAAAGGTCAAATAAATAAATAAAGTGAATACAATTAATTTAACGAAATTATTTGAATGTGTTCGTATCATTTCAAAGTCTACAAATTAAAAACGTGATATAAGAAACTTCAGGTTTAAAATAAGAGCGGAAACAATACTTTTATTTAGAAAACAATAATTTCAAAACAGGAAAATAAATGTTTTCATAACGGATGTAATATTATGTTGTTATCGCGTACATAATAATTATTACCAACCACCAGCTATAGATTGTAGTTTTATGATTTGGTGAAATCAAAAACAAACACACACTTTGATATAACAAATTTATTTAAAGGTTGGCACTGTTTTTTTTAACATATTTGTTAAAAAGATACATTAGTCTGTTAAAAAAAAAGAATTGATAATTTTTAAACATTTTGCTTTTTTCTTCCATCTTGTCCGTGTAAAACGAAACGTAATAAACAAAAGAGTGACGATCATTTTGAGAACAATAACAACGAATGCTTCACGATAGTGGCCAGAATTATTCTTATATTGGAAATAGTAAAAAAGAAATTTATTTTCAGCCACCCCCCGTATCTGTGCTAGAAACAACGCATTGTGGAGAACGGTTGGTTAAATTTAATTTTTTTTACTTTAACATTCTTAGAAAATATTTAGTATGTAGGTGTTGTAGGTTAAATTAATCTATGGTATATAAAGAAGTGGGGTCCGGAGCAGTTCACTGATAGATGTGCGCATAGATACAGAAGATCCATAACTCAAGAAGATTGCTAATCTCTATAGTACAGATCGCAACTCCGAAAAAGGTCAAAATCTCATCTATTATCAAGATAGCGCTGATTGACAGCTTGGAAGTAGTTTATATTATGTAAATGGCCGTGGGTATCAATTAATTTTGCTTTAATATGAAATATGAGTAGATAGCCGCTCACGCGATTCATGCGTCTCTGGAAGCATACCACACCCAGAGGTGCCGGTGATGATTTTATACCGATTTATCGGATATCGAAGTTATAACAGGTAAAATAACTAATACTAATTGCTATTTCGGTAACTACTCTAGCAAACCATAAAGTTTTTAATGCCTGGGTCTGTCATTTAAAAAAAATAAACAACTTCAAAAATACGTCACGACAATCGTGTGTGTTATTGTTTGGGCTAGTGATGTCGGTGTTTATTTATTGAAAACATAAGTAGCGTTTTTTAAGTTTACCCTGAATATAAATGTTTATTAATAAAATAAATATAATTTCATGGTAAACATTAGAACCACTCAAACGGAATATTATCATATTTACCCAAGTACACCAAAAATTTCATTAGTGCTTTTTAAGTGCAGGATTTGCGGTGTATTACTGCATTTTAGTTGAGATGTTTTTGTTGTAGTACGGAGGGTATTTATTTAGTAATTCAGAATAATAATTTTTATTTTTTATTTGTATTTAAACTGAATCCTTTTCTAATTTGCGAAACCAAATAGCCGCCATTTTGCGGTAGGATGAGCGCATCGCATGAGCGGTTAGATTTCTTCCTTGTTATATTATTCAAAAATATTGAATATGAGCTAAAATTACTTCCTGAACTGTGAGAAATATTTTTATTTATTAATTTTTATTTTTTATTTCATTTATTTGGGAAACTTACAGCATCATATAATACATTTCATGTTTAACAAATATGAAACAAACACCAGCCAAAACAGTTTCCACTAATGTTTAAAATAGTTACGTTGGATAGGCAGATTTATACATAGCTATAAGCAACTCATATATAATAAATCACTTTTAATTATAATTTCAATTTATTGGATATCATGATGTTCAACCACCATGATATTCAATTACGTAATGGGAAATCACTCCACTAGTTTGTTGTATCGATCGAACACTAAGAGAAATTCCTACGATCAATTACTAATTATGTTAATAACATAAAAGCTTTCTAATGGCAGATTTGAACCGGAATATCTTATTGTCAAATATATTAATTTCTTGATATTCGTTATAAAATTGTGTACAAGCCCGTACAAGGAACCTATTTTTAAAATAATTAGTGCGACAATAAGGTATTGAAAATGGGCCTCGCGGACGTAGGTTGGGTCTTGGACATTTTAATGAAATTTGGCTTAATAAGTAAGTAGAATCAATGTGATTATCAATAATTTTGAAAAGAAAAATTTGATCCCTAAGCTCTTTTTGAATTTCCAATATTTATACTTCAATCTTTTAACAAATTTATTTTGCACTCTTTCGATCATGTCGACATGTTTATATATAGTTGGGGTTCCAAGCAGTGGATGCATACTCTAGGTTAGATATTATATATGCATTGTATAACAGCATAAGACTGTCAGGATTCTTAAAATCGCTACATTGTCTAAATATAAAACCTAGTAATTTAAAAGCCTTCCTCGTAATTTTTTCATAGTGGGAAGTAAATATTAGCTTACTATCCGGATGCATCCCCAGATCTCTCACCTCTGATACTCTTTGAAGTTTTTGATTATTAAGATAGTAATTATGAACTAATGCGTCTCAATAGAGTATGGCATTTTGTGTTACAAAGTAATTGATGAACTCTTGCTAATATGGGTAGGTGGCGCTAATCCTAAACAAAATAAAAGCATAGACGGCAGTATCCATAAAATAATGTAAAATAAACGCCATCTAGTTAATTTGCTTGTTACTACTAGAAATTAGATTAGCTTTGGCAAATAAGTAATTTTCAGGTAAGGTTTTTGTACTCAATTTTGGTGATAATTTTTTTTTATTGAAATATTTATAGAATACCATCACGAAGTATTATTTAATATTCGAGTGTGGTAACCTGAAATATTCTTTAATATTTCACGAGGATATATTCGAGTAATTAAATAATAAAAATTGTCACCAAAATTGAGTACAAAAAACTTATCTCACAATTACTGAAATAGCTATTTGGAAAACCAAACGAGTACGTCGCACTATACGTTCGACTAGAATAAGCTAGCTGGACAAAAGTCATTATCGAATTTCCCGGAAATTGTTTACTAATATGATAGATAAAACCCACGATACTCGAATTCCAAGAATTTAATTACACTGGGGGTTACGGTAATTAAGGTAAGCAGGTAAGTATATAAGAAATGGGGTAAATGCACTAATTATCATTAGCAATTTTGCATGTGACGCGAATACATATGACAGTGATTTTAATAATGGTTTGAAGGTAAAGGTATGTACTATCTTAATTTATAAAACAACGTAACAAGTTATAGCCCGTTATTTTTTTACGTAATCCCAAATTTAAATTTAACTAATTTTTTCCCGTTTTTTTATGTATTTTGGATCCGGAAAGTTACACGTTTATCAACGTGTGTCACAGACCTAAAACTAACATATGTGGTAACTTGAACTCTCTTCTTTCCAATAGTAATAAATCTAAGCTGTGGACTGCTGTGGAACATATATTTTTTATTTTTTTTCTAGAGCACCTCTTCGCAATCTCAAGATTAAAACTTTTTGAGGAGTGGCTTAAACATGGCAAAGAAAACCGGAATAGCGAGTTTGTTTTCCTATCTTCAAAATATGACTTCTCCGGTGTCACCGATGATTCTTCAAGGGCGCTAAAGATGACAATCAGCGCATTTAATTCAAATTTAGAAAAAAAATGGTACACGCACAAAAAGACCCGCGATGACTTTTTGAAAAAAAATGAAGAGTGGACATCAAAAGACTTTGTCTTTAAAATGTTCCTTTGCCACGCAAAGACATCTTCATCCACTGTATCTTGAACTCCTGAACGTCCAAGCAAAGAGTTTTAAGAGTCCAGTGATAAAACGAAAAGGAGAAGAGTTGAGGCTTTGCTCAGTACCCGCGACACTAATCAGTTAGTGGCTGCAGCAGAATTTTCAGCGCGACTGTTTGGGCACCGAAAGTTGGCTGCTGTTTATGCAGGATTAGGGACGCTAAGGAAAGTCCCGAAAAGTGCAAAGCCATAAGACCTACTGCCAGTGATAGTGAACACAACAGTCAAAGGTGCTTAACGAAGGAAGAGTTTTTTGCATATTATATGTGGACTCCACGTCAACAAGCCACGCCTACAGCAAAAGCAAACGCGGTGCAAAAGCAAAAGTGGAGTATGAAAGCAGGTCATAAGATATTTCCATCAATGTATAGACTTAGGTAAGCTAAGATGAAATGTTTTCCTCGTGAAGAAGATTTATTTGTGGATGAAGTTCGTGCAGAAATTAAACTTCATGCTGTTTTAAATAAAACAGTTGAACGTTTAATGAATGCGCAGCATGAAGTTCTTAAATCTTCTTCTTTAGAGGCACCATTCACTCTTATAAGCAAGTGGGGTTGTGATGGCAGTTCCGGTCATAACACCTACAAACAAAAATTCACCAGTAATGACGCCACAGATGAATATTTATTTGTGTTTTCCTTTGTGCCGCTTCAATTGTACGACGAAAGCCAAGCAATGTTACCAACATTGCTTGTTAGAATCCTCGTCCATCTTCATCAATGACTTGTCGACCTATTAAGTTTATTTTCTCCAAGGAAACTACCGACTTTACCGTTGCAGAAACAAATAAAGTCATGGAGGAAATAAACCAGTTGCAGCCGACAATATGTAACGTTGATGGCAAAGAGATACCTGTCAAAATAAAACTACTTTTCACAATGATTGACGGTAAAATGTGCAATGTTGTGACTGAAACTTCTTCGTCACAAAAGTGCTATATTTGTGGAGCTACCCCAAAAGTTATGAATGATGAATCTAGGGAGTATATAGTTAATAGGGACAACCTTGGTTTTGGTTTATCTACACTGCATGCATGGATTCGTTGTTTTGAAAGTTTAGCATATATTACATATATTACAGGTGTAGATGTGACTCTTATAAAAAATTTTGCCACCATACTCAGAAGTTTAGCTTCCGGTTACGATATTAACATCGAGAAATTTAAATCTTTAGCACAAGCCACTAGACATTTGTATATAAATCTTTATCCGTGGTATTACATGTCTGCTACTGTACACAAAATTCTTGTAAACAGTACGGATGTTATTCAGTCAGCTCTGCTACCAATTGGGCACCTTTCTGAGGAAGCTCAGGAAGATCGCAATAAAGATTGCAGAAGATTCCGTGAGCATAATACTTGTAAACGGTCACGTATTGCCACGAATAAAGATTTAATTAATATGTTGTTGATCACATCTGACCCTGTAATAAACGACCTAAGAGAGGTTCCCAAAAAAAACACAGGTAGCCTCCCTTCTGAAGTATTAGATTTAATAATACTCCACCTGTACATCGAAGTCAAAATATTAGCAGTCCTAATGTTAGCATGTCTGACTACGAGTATACTGAAATTGATTCTTCGGAAGAAGAAATTAGAGATACCGAGAATTAGAGATTAGTTAATAGTGTTAGTTAATTATGGAGTATGAGAGAATTATAAAGTATAAGTTAATTATAGATTATAAGTACTAAGATTATAAGTTGTATTACTAATACTAAATAAGTGTTAGTTAATTAGTTGATCATTATTTTGTACCTGCTACACCTATTTTCTCACTACGTGACTGTACTCGTCGTTGTTATTTTTTTTATCTTTACATTATATTTATTATTTAAATGAGAAAAGGATTTTTTTATCTAACCATAATACCACCACTCACTCTCCCCCCTCCCCTCAAAATGGATCCCCTGACCCTAAAATGTCATTAGGTAGTCATAATAGGTAATAAGAAAACCCGACAATGCAAAAAATAGCAATAAATATTTTTGTCCAGCTAGCATGTTCTGGGCGAATCATAGTGCGTCGCTACAACTGATGTACCAATACGTACTAAACCCGACTACGCTGTCTAGTACCGTGATTGGCAATCTTCCTGAGTTAGTGGTCCATGATAGTATATAATGCATGTAAATATTTTAAGCAGACGATGTCACCAGTAATTTGAGTTCAGTTTTTTAAGGTCTTTTTTTTATAAATAGCCATAATTATATCAGATTGACAGATTTGTTGCAGTAGAGCTCCTTAACTATTTCTGCCGCCAAGCAGTAATTACTGCGTTCCGGTTTTGAAGGGTTAAGAATGCTGGTGAAGTTACAGGCACATGGTACTTGTCAAGTTATGTCTCAGGGTGACAAGCGCAGTGGCAGTGCCTCTCATATCTTTGCCATTAAAAGCTCTGAGTGGCACTGCAACTGTTATGGACGGGCATGTAGCTTACCATCAGGTGCACAACGTGTTCGTTCAGTCACTTATATTGTAATAAAAAAAAGTAATAGCTAATTAATCACGTAAAAACAACTTCTAGTGAGCTTTATGGTGTTTTTTTGTTGGTCGAGGTCCCGGTACTGGAGTTCCTTTATCGGTTGGTTTTGTAGTGCCAATTTTTGGAGTGGTCTCAATTTTTTGAGTGGTGTCAATTTTTGGAGTAGTATCAGTTTCGATCCATGAACTTTTTCCCGTAGCAGGCGTTTTCTTAGTTATCGTACTCGACGGATTAATAATAAGTACTTTTTTCAGTCCGGTCCGTTTCTTCGTTGCATTTCCAGAAAGTGGTTTATTACCCAAAGTACATACTTGATTACACTGAAAAAAAAACAAGAATTTTAAACTTTCTCACCTGTTATTAAACTTATTGAATGTTTCACCACCGTGATGTTCAATTATTTATTGTGAAATTACTCCACTAGTTTGTTATAATTTATTACCAGAATGTTCGGGGATTGAATACTAATACTAAATAGTACCTACGACATTTTATTGTTTACAGAGATTTGGTTGTAAAGTGACATATTTGACGGCGAGTTATGTGATACGCATCATGACATCTTTCGCTGATACAGGAATGGAAGTTTATGTAAAAAAAACTAGAGGGGGCAGGGTTATCATTTTGTACTCGTAAGAAACTCGAAGTAAACGTATTGAATGAATGGTAATACTGCCAAATCCTTGTGTGTCAGAGTACCTGTGCACTCCATAACATCACAATGTGATTTATACATAGTTATAGTGTACACACCTCCCAGTCTTCGTGGCTTCATCGGCCGTATAGATTATTTATTAAATAATCCCTCGAAATTAGTTGATAATCATCCAAACTGTAACTATTTATTGGTGGTTGGTTCTGGTAATTATAGCAGTGCGGGTGAAGATGGTTTGAATAAAATGATCAGAATCAGGAATGTTTCAGAGAATTCATTAAAAATACTGAATATAATATACGGAATACTCCTAGATATTTTTGGACATATATGAAGTCAAAACGAGGAGGCTCTAATTATCCCAAAGCTTTCACTTATGCTTATGATAAATTTCTCAGAAGGGCAACAAATGTGTAACGCATAATATAATGATTTTTTTTAAGGATGCGTTTATTATGTCTGCACAGAACACCAACTCTAGATGCCATAATATTATGTCATCATAATATACCTCATACCTTATATTATGGCAATAATACAATATCACAAATAAGTATATCAGAGTCAGTTGTGGAGGAACACCTTAATAGCATAAACAAAAGTAAAGGTGCGGGTTGTGATAGAATATCTCTAATTTTTTTATCTCATTGCGCTAAATCATTGGCTCTTCCCATCGCTATTCTTTTCAATAATTCTTTAAATATGTGTCTTTCCTGCAATCTGGAAAAGAACCCATAATATCCCAGTTTATAAAAAAAGGATGTAAATCTGTGATTAATAATTACCGTCCTACATTTAACCTCAACATCGTAGTTAAAATATTTGAAAAACTAGTCTACCTGCACATTTACCCAGTGATAACGAGCAGTATATCTACGTCCCAACATGGTTTCCTGAGGGGTCGCTCTACTATATTTAACTTAGCTTTATTTACGAACTTTGTATTAGATCGGATGGAAAATGGAAGACAGGTTGATGTGATCTACATGGATTTTCAGAAAGCCTTTGATCGTGTGGATCACTCTATCCTGCTTTATAAACTAGAATCGTTAGAAAGACATGGTGATTTTCTGAGGTAGACCACGTCATATCTGTACAATCGCTCTCAGGCAGTTGCACTTGGTGGATATAGATCTGATTTCACTTCTGTGTCATTGAGTGTCCCACAGAGCTCGGATTTTGGACCTCTCCTTTATAATGCGTATATTTATGATATTCACATATGCTTCAGTAGCGCTAAACACCTCTTATATGCCGGTGCCAAGAAAGTTTTTATGCAAGTGAATTTTACATCTGTCTGTAATTTAATTCAATAGGATCTCAACTATTTAATGTCTTATTACGTGAATAATAAAATAACAATAAGTATTTTCAAATGCATTAGCTTTACGCGTAAAATGAATCCAATATCGTTTACATGTGTATAAAATCGACGATCATGTACTGGAAAGAGTAGAATCAATGAGAGATCTCGGCGTCTTGCTAGATTCCAAAACGTCATTTCGCCTTCGTATTGACAGTATAGTTAACAGAGCTACGTGTAAACCTTTCATATCTGTCACTAGTATCAAAATCATTTACAACCAACGTTCACAGTACATTGGAGTACGCCTGCCCAATATAGGCTCCAACTTTATACCGTACACAAAAATCGCATTGAGAGTATACAGAGGAAATTCGTACGTCATATAAAACATAGATTTCCGTGTGATGATTCCTCTTACGAGGACATCTATCAGGAGTATGAGCTGCTAACGCTGAGTAAACGTCATACAGTGTTGGATATGGGTTTGTTGTACGACATCTTTCACGGGCGTCTGGACTGCCATGAAATTCTGGAGCAGTTAGCGCTGCGTGTGCCAGGGCGCCGCACTCGTCACAGGCCCCATTCTACTAACTATGGGAAGAATGCAGTGTTGTCACGAATTGTCAACAGTTATAATGTGCACTTTAGTAAAACCGACTCTATCATTGGTACTAAAGGTTTTAAAAAAAAATTAAGTCTGTAGATAAAATAGATATGTTATATCTACACCTATTGTAATGTTTTTGAATATTTTTACACGTTACATATAATCTGCACATGTTTTTTTAAATGTATGAAAATTTAGAAATAGTTTTTATATATAAATATATATTATCGATAATATAATATATAATATGCCATTAGTTATACATGAAATATATCTTATTAATATATGTATGCAACATCACGATACATAAGTTATTGTCGACTTTATTTTAAATTTTATTAAAATTTAAAATTCTACTACTAATTTTGTATTGTTCTGTTCGTTTCAGGCTTCAAAAATTTATGACATTGTGGATTTTGCCCTAAGTTATTTAAGAATTTTTTTTCTTTGTAAAATGTATTTGTATGTTATATGTGTTAACGGGTGAGATGATGATGATGAAAATGTATTTAAGTTGGCTGTTGTTATTCTTAATAATAAAATAAAAATAATAATATAGGGGTTAAAGTATGAAATTGCCGTTTTATTGCAATAGGTTCTTTG